GGCAGCCTCTGCATCAGTGGCCAATCGCATAGGTCTACCACCAGTCTAAATCAATAATTTAAACTAATAATTAGTAAACAACCTTTTCAAATTCATATATTTTATTAATTATTATAAAATAATCATAATTAACTATTTATTACTAATATTTATGCTAACTAATCATAATTAATATTTTTAATTATTATTTTTTTCTAATATACATATTCAAATATTACAAGTAATTATTTTTCTAAAAAGTATTAAAAAAATCAGATTCTTAATTATTCGTAACCATATAATTAATATAATTCCACTTTGTGATTATATAATTATACAAACTAATTAACAAAAAAAAAAATACAATTTTTTAGTTGAATACTAATTAAAAATTTTGAAACTAATAATTACTCAACAAATCATTTAACTAAATATATTACAACTAATTCGTTTCCTAAAAATACTAAAGTTATGTGCATTATCCTATAAATAATTAGAATCATTAAAAATAATTACGATCATAATTTTGATATATCACATTTAACTAATATATATAATATATTATTTATAAGTAACATATTATAAATAACTGCTAAACTAATTAATCTGAATTAACCTAAATCGAAAAATTAAGTTAGTTCTATTTTAAATATTTAAATATAATTAAATAGTTTCAATTATTAAAAATAAATATATAAACTTCGAACAACCCCGGCCGCAGAGCGCATGGCCGACAGACATAGTCGGTTGCCTGTGGCATTGCCGGCCACCGGGGTTGAACGATTAGGGTGGGGTCGACCACCGATGGCAGTCGATTAGGGCGCGGCCAGCCTCGAATGCCAACCGTCTAGCGTGTTGCCGGACGACCTAAGCAGCTCACGCCGGCACCAATCAACTGCTGCCCACAACGTCGATGGTTGGCTTCGACGGCCGGCAGGGCAGAAACTTAAAAAAGTTCTTGAAAAAATTTTTACTAATCGAAAAAAAAACATAACCGTAGAATCATGGAGCCTTTGCCTCGGCCTTGGCGAGGATGATCCATTTTTTCAGAATTGTTTGGAGGTGCGGCAAGACAGAGGCAAGAAATGAGCAAAGAGAGTAAGAGAGAGAAAAAAATTTGTTTTTTTTCGAAACTTAAAACGGCAAAAATGTCCAGGGAGAGGGAGGTAGGTAGTAATAGGGAGACAATGTTAAGAAATTTGCTTCACAAATTGTCTTT